AGATAGAACAATCTAGCAAGACCCTTCCTGTAACAACAACAACAACAACAACAACAACAACAACAACAACAAGAAAGTGTGTAGTGAACTGTGTACTGGACAGCCCCTGGCCTGAGACTGTGTCTGTCATTATGGGCATTTAGCACTACCCTAGACCACCAATGCCAGCAGTGCCTCAATCATTTTCACAACTAAAACCATAAATACCTTCCCAAACACATGCTCAGGGACTCAGAATAAGGCTCTGCAGTAATCACGTGACTAATAGGATCACTTATGCTATCTATAGCAATGATACATCAAACATTATTCTGAATTAACTTTTTTAAGGGGCCACTAGCACTGCTCAAAAGCCTTAAGGCCCTGGCAGTACTCTGAGTTAACCCTGACTGGGACGGCACCACTTTCACATTCCCAGTTAGCTAATGTATGGCATCTCAAAGCCAAAGTTACTCACAAGTGATCCAAAACGGATCCTATCAGGGCAGAGAAGACTCTTCTCACACATAGCATCAAAACCATTCCAGCAAATGTATTTTATATATTTTTTAAGATTTACTTATATGTGAGAATGTTTCACCTGCATATATGTGTACCACATGATTGCCTGGTGCCCACAGAGGTCAGAAGCAGGCACTGGATTTCCTACAATAGAGTTACAGCTGGTTGGGAGCTACCATGTGAGTACTGGGAACCAAACTCCAGTCCTTTGCAAAAACAAATTTGCTTAACTGCTGAGCCAGTTCTCCAGGCCAGTAAATTCTACTTTAGTGCTAAAAATTCAGTGCTTCTGCTTTTCTACTTACTAGTAGATATTGAAAATAGAAAAAGTGCAGTAGACAGACACATAAGCTTTGACCCTGTGAATCTCAATCATCAGTTATTCACAAATAGCATAGATCCTTAAAATGGCACAAGCTTCAACTCCACCTTTAGTTTCTAAAGTTCTCACTACATGCACACACTTATTTTCTTTTTAGATTTACTTATTTTATTTTATGTGTATGGGTATCTGTCTGAATGTCTGTCTATATCATGTAGGTGTCTGGTGCTCACTGAGATCAGAAAAGATCATCAGATCCCTTAAAACCAGAGTTAGGGATGGCAGTAAGCCAAATCTGGGTCCTCTGCAAATATAATAAGTGGTCTTGATCACTAACCCTTCTTTCCGGCAACCTCTTTTTAAAAATAGTGTCTAGCCTAGGCTATAGGAGACACTATTAAAAAAGAAAAAGTTCTGATCCTCCTAACTCTGACCTCTGAGTGTTGGGATTACAGGAGTGTACTGCCATGACTAGTTTATAGCGTGCTAGGGAGAAAACCCAGGGCTTTTGCCATGCTAGGCAAAGTCTAAGAACCTGGCCACATTCAGCTGTACTTTTCAAAGATACTGTTTTCAAATTCTGGGACAAATCATCCTTACCAATATTAACTTGTTAATATAAGGGTGACTTGCTTATTGAAGGTCAGTACCGGAAAAAAAAAAAAAAAAACAAGAAATTACTGATTTCTCAGTATCGAAACAATCTAACAACTGGAAACATGCTCCAAAGACCTGAAAATATAGAGACAAGTGGCTCTCTTGACCCCAGCTGTGCAGAGTCACCCACTCACCATCCTCTGAAATCAGACTAATCTAGGGAAGACACACTAACACAAAGCAAACAGATGTGACTGATTATGCTATCTTTGTGCACATGTGCAAACATGGTACTTTTACAAAGCTATAGGAAAAGCAATTATTTTAAAGTATTGGTTTACATCTAGGAGAAAGGAAGAATGATGAAAGTATTTAATATATTCATCCATGAATCACTCAGTTATTTTTAAGACCAGCTTAGATCTTTTGTTATTATTTGAAAAATACTGTAATTAACTCAAACTGTTATTTTTTAATTACATTATTTTATTGTATAAATGTGTATATATGTATGTAAGTGTGTGCTTGCCACTGTGTGTGTGTAGGGGTCAAAGGACAACCTGTAGTAGCTAGCTGATTCTCTCCTTCCAGAAAGTTCCAGGGACCAAACTTTAGTCACCCAGGATAATGGCAAATGCCCTTACTTGCTAAGCAATCTCTATGGCCTAAAAGTCATTTTTCCCACATGTGTACCATCAAGTAGACAATTACTTGACTTGTACGACTCTGGAAGCTCATGGGCAAAGAATAAAACAGACATAAGCACAGGAGCCAGCATGCTAGGCTAGAGTTAGATCAAAATGCAAATAAAGACAGATGAGGCTCAAGGAAGCAGCACACTGTGTTGGAGTTAGACCAACAAACACAGACAAGGTAGCATAAGGGAGAAGTTTGAGAACGGCACTTTGTGAAAGGAGTCTCAGTGGTCTATAGAATAAAAACAGTCTAATCACCACAAAGTAATTCTCTTGGCAAATAAGCATCACAGTAGCAAACAATATAGAGACGAAGCCTTTGGCTATACAGATTTACTAACTATGACTTACTCTGACCAAAAGACTCCCAGAACCCAGAAACTTAAAAATGAAAATATTAGAACCATGTCAACTCCTCAAAAGCAAATTTTATTAATTTACAAACACTAGCAGAATTATCAAGATCCTTAGCAGGAGGGTGGTACTACCAGGCCATAATGTTGAAGCACTGGTCATGCTACACCTTAGAGGAATCTGCTCAGAAAAAAATGCATCTATTTACCTTTTCCCAAAATAATATGATTTCACTTCCAGGGCAGCCAGAACTACATAGAGAAACCCTGTCTCGAAAAACCAAAAAGAAAAAAAAAAATATATGATTTCACAAGTTACCTAGTTTCTCCCTAAAAAATGAAGGTAAGTTTTTCTTGAAGATACAAATTATATGAGTGGTTTGTTGGTGCCATGTTTGCTTGCACAGAATGTGCAAAGCTGTGCAGCATTTCCAAAAAGAGAAAAAAATAAGAAGAAAATTGAGACAGTATTATCACGTTAAAGCGTGTAGCAAGAATAATACTTGGCTGGGCGGTGGTGGCCCACGCCTTTAATCCCAGCACTTGGGAGGCAGAGGCAGGCAGATCTCTTAGTTCAAGGCCAGCCTGGTCTACAGAGTGAGTTCCAGGACAGCCAGGGCTACACAGAGAAACCCTGTCTCGAAAAAACAAAATAATAATAATGAAATGTGCACCACTTTAAGAACGGGGAAAGTTGTATGTTTTTATGTAAATCATGAAAGCAGGAAGATTGAGCAAACGCTGATTCACAGGGTGTGGCCTCGGCTGAAACCTCTCTCTCTCTCTCTCTCTCTCTCTCTCGCTCTCTCGCTCTCTCGCTCTCTCGCTCTCTCGCTCTCTCTCTCTCTCTCCTCTCTCTCTCTCCTCTCTCTCTCTCTCTCTCTCTCTCTTTTTTTCTCTCTCTCTCTCTCACCCTAGAATGACTTTCATCCAATCCCTAGGACAGATATGATAGAGTAGATCATAGAGACACCAATATATCACTTGCTTGGACTACAGAACGTGTGAAGAGGCACAGTGAACAGTCTGTTAACAAAGAACCTACTCAGCAAATTAATTTCCATCACATAGCCCAGAACATCAGCACAACTGCCCTGGGGCCTAAGTCCCTGAATATGCACAGCACGAAACATTCTGTGACACAAACCTAACTAAGGACTGGGGACCTGGAAGGAGTGGGAGGGATGCTACAGATGCTGACAACACTGTTTCCATAGAACACACTGAAACCAGGGTCTTCTATTCCTAGAGCTATAGACACAAAATGAGAAAATGGGGCTGACTAGGGGCTCTGCTTAAAATATGTAAGTTAGAGAGAGAGCTCTGGGGTTAACAGCCCATGGCTCTAGAGGGCCTGGAGCAATTAAACACCATCATATTACAGCAGGAGACCAGTTGATAGCATAGGAATGTACTATAAATCTGCACTTACACTCCAGCCACTCAGAGGGCTTCCAACCAAATGCAGTTTTTTTTTAAACTTTAAAACAGTGGTTCTTAACCTGTAGCTCATCACCCCTTGAGGGTTGAATGACCCTTTCACAGGGGTCACCTAAGACCACTGGAAACACAGATATTATATTACAATTACAATTATGAAGTAGTAGCAGACATAATTTGATAATTTGATAGTTGGAGTTACCACAACACTAAACTGTAGTAAAGGGTCGTAACACTAGGAAAGTTGAGAGCCAATTCCTTAAAACAAAATGGGCTGGGTAAATAACTCAATTAATAAAGTGCTTGTTGCTGCATTAAGCATGAGAACTTGAGTTCAATCACTAGCACCATTGTTTAAAAAGAAAAAAGCCCAGTGCCACAGTACACATACATACAACCCAGTGCTGACACAGTGCCACAGTACACATGCATGTATAATCCAGTGCTGTCACAGTGCCACAGTACACACGCATATATAATCCAGTGCTGACACAGTGCCACAGTACACACGCATATATAATCCAGTGCTGTCACAGTGCCACAGTACACACGCATATATAATCCAGTGCTGACACAGAAGGATCCTAGGTGCTGGCTGGCCAACTAGTATAGTCCATCAGCAAGCTCAATAAGTGAGAGACCTCTCAAAAAATAAAGTGGGGAGAGGAAATGGCTCAAATAAGTAAAATACTTGTCATGCAAGTGTGAGAACCTGAGTTTGAATTCCCAGAACCCATATAAAAGCTGGGTACAGTAGCAGTAATCTCCAAGCTTCTACTCAGAAATGGGCAGTAGAGATGGAATCAGTCCCTGGAAGCTCACAATGTCAGACAAGGTGGAAAGTGAGGATCAACACCAAAGTCATCCTTGTACTTCCATCTGTGGCTATTCGAATGCACCCATGAGTGCAAACACACACACGCACACGCACACACTAAATAAATATAAAACAATTAATGGGAAATTCTTTACAAGCTGGAGATGTAGCTCAGTGGAAGAGGACTTACCTAGGAAGTATGAAACAATGGGTTCAATCCCCAGCACTGCAAAGAGGGAAAGACTTCCTAGCATGCATTAATAGAAAAGGAAGTACCGACCCCTAGAAGGACTGCAGGTGTGGCTGCTGTGTCCTATATGCGCTAGGTGGTAGACAGGACAGAGGTCATGTCTAGGCTCAGTGTTCTGACTGATGAGTATCTAAATGATTAGTAGCCTAATATTCCTTGAAAAAAGGAAAGCACCTGAGAAGACCACCAGTCCAGCACTGCACAGGCCTTGATGCCCCAGGATGGGGAGCAAGCCAGAGACTAGAAAAACCCTGCCTGGGTCTGAAGCCCTTGGTAGGAATGAGCCCAAGACAGACGACCTTCACATGAGGTTGCTTGAGGTCACTGGGCATGGAGTCACTCAGGCAAGCAGGGCGAGGAATGAACCCAAGATGACGACCAGACTAGGGCCATGGGGCCTGGACAGGAAGCTAGCCTAAAACCACCAATATTCTGGCAAAGCGTAGGATTGTGGGAGAAGACACCATGCCCAACATGACCCCTGTCCAGCACCATAATACATAAGCCAGGGCACTCCTGAGATAATCCCAGATACTCAGAGACCCCAGACACCACTAAGAGGAGAAAGTAAGTGGTAGAGAAATGGAAGAGAAAGGAAACAGAAGAATGTGGGCACAATGAAGAGAGGCAGACCTAGAGACTTGAAGGTACCTGATATGAATAGCTGATGATGCCACCTGGGGCCATGGTGGGGTCATAGCCTGTTCTGCTACTGGAGAGACCATGCCTAGGTCTGTGTCCCGGCAGTAGCAGGGATCTGCTACCGTCCTCTTCCCTCATCCCTTGCCATCCGTCTATGGCAGGCAGAAGAGCTAGCCGCAGGGTCGTGAGAGTGAGAGAACTGACCATGTCCCTCACCAACTACAACACTCAGGAGAGTGGGCCCTGCACCTCACCAGGCAGCAGGGTAGAGCTGGCCCTGGTGGGAGTGAGGAGGAGTTGCTGGTGACCCAGACCCAAAGGCATGAGGGCATGAGAACAGGAGAGCAAGCAGGTGGGCTAAGCATCTCAGATACCTATCCAGGTATCTTAGAATTGGCCCACCACAACATCTATCCCACGGATGAACTTTTAGAGTGCATGAAGGGGCCAATCCTACAGATCCAAACCTATACAATTTCCATGACACAGGGCAAAACCGGGATATCCAGCAGGAGTAAGAGTAGGGTCCAGAACTGATGTAGTAGCAGACGCTAGAGGCCACTTACAAGTCACTGCAATGAACATGTACAAGCAAAGACGTGTAGACCAAGGTGGTGTACTGTGGGATACACTGTGACACACTACAGCTTCCATAAGACTTTTTTTTCTCTGTTGGTGGGGAAAGGAGAGCGAGTATGAAGAGATTGGGATGCATGATGTGAAATTCACAAAGAACCAATAAAAAGTTAAAAAAAAAAAAGGAAAAAGAAGTAAAATCACTTCTTCACTAACCCTCAAAACACAAGCCTCAAAAAAACCGTCTAAAGTGAGGAACAATGTGATTGCTCATTCCACAGTTATCCTACAGAGTCTTAGTTGATCACTTTGAGTGACCTTTTCCCATCAGAGTTCCTGAAACAGCACTATTTTTGTGGTTAGACTCTGAAAAATATTCAGACTCTTGCTTAAGAGTTTCCTGAAAAGCAAAAAAAGCTACAGCAACATAGACATGGTGAGCATGTCACCCAAATCCAAATTTTCACCCTAAGATCCCCATAAGTTTCATTTGGTCATGCTTCAGAAGCTACGTGCACCCCTTCAGGTCTGTCCTACACACTGCAGAATGCAAGACAGCTCATCTTGCACATAACTCACACCTATGACGGGCTTCCTTACACTATAGGTGAGCAGCTGAGAATCATGACCACATGGATATCACAAGAGTCACCTACCACTTTAGTGACTGGATTTTTTTATTTGGAGTGGGAGTTAAACTTGTATAATCTGAGGTTTGAGGTTTATGCTATAAATGTGTAACAACTGTTCTCAAGACCACTTAAAAACAGTAGCAGTACCTACTCTTTGCAAAGTGTATATACTGCTTTACAGTTGGCCTTGAAAGTATAGTTGTTGTTGCTGTTTTTGGAGAAAGATGCATTTCTTCAAAATAACTTATTTGTAATTTTCAATTCAACATCAAAGTAAATGTCTAGGAATTTATGGTAAAAACATGAAAAAAGTCTCTTCATATTAGTCCACTATTTTTGCTTTCTACTGACCAAACTAACTTAGGGAGGAAAAGGCTCATTCTATCTTACAGCTCACAGTCCATCACTGAGGGAGGTCGGGATAGGAACTTAAAAAGAGATGGTGGAGGCACGCTATTTACTGGCTTGCTCATCTTGGACCACCTGTCCAAGGCTGACACTATCCACCGTGCCCTGGACCCTCCCACATCAATCAGTAATCAAGAAAATGTTCCACTAGCGTGCCCACAGGAAAACCTGGTAGAGGCACTTTCTCGGTTGAGATTACCTCTTCCCAGATGCCCTTAGCTTCAGTCAAGTTGACAAAAAACAAAGCAGCACCATAGGGCTTTCCAGATATTGTTGCCCTCTGCCTGCGCCCAAGCTCTGGAGGCTCATCTGTAGGATAAGTCAGAAGTAGGAATGCTGAAAAGCAGAGGCAACATCACCTACAAGAGGGCAGATGTCTCAGGACAGTCTGTTAGGAAGGTCTATCCAGCTGGGAGGAGCAACAGAGACTTTCTGACTGAGTACAAACCATAAACAAAATAAAGTCTCATATTTAATGAAAATTGAAGCAAGAAACCGCAAGCTAATAAGCAATTAGAGCCTAAACCACACGAGATAACTGGAAAGATACAAAAAAAGCATCCACACTACAGTGGAAGAACAAGCAGAACGTGGTGGCCAACTTAATAGGAAACAAGAAGAGATGGTGAATGCAATCTAAAATGTGGAAGGTGACTACCAAGGAGAGCCAGGAAGACATTTACAAACCGACCAATCAGGAACAGGGATGGGACTGAAGTGGAAAGTGGTGAGCTCCATGTTGGCATCTGATGTTCAGAAGACAAACATTCCCAAAGAAAGCTACATCAGTCAAAGGAGAAAACTGGTCCCCATGCAGACTGGCATGGAAGTCAAAGATGGAGATGCAGACATGTTTAGTCTCACTAGGTACCTCAAGAAAGAGGACTGCCAAGGGGGGAAATATGTCTATAGTAAGTAGATGCAGGATTTGACTCTGGAAAGCATGGAACTGACTGGAGGAGTCACCTCACACTATATCCAGGAGGGAAACATCCTAGTAAGGTCTAAGGACAATTCTCTCAACAACAGTTACATCCTCTCTCAAGACCTACTATACTGGAAATACCTAAGAAAAACATTAGTTTTTCAAAAACATTAAACTACTTGCTTTTTAAAAACTTTCTTAAAGCATATAGTGCATGTGTATGTGTGTGAAGGGATCACAGATCAAAGGGAAAACTCCTGGGTATTCTCTTTCCTACTGCTGGGTCCTGGAGAGCCTTAACATACTAAGCTATCTCGATAGCCTTGCTTGCATATTCTTTACCTTGTCAGCTCAAAATACCCCAGTGAAAGGAAAAAGTAGTATTTGTCCCCAGTTTGCAAAAATTAAGAGGTCAGAAGAGATGCTACCTATATCCCCCCCCACACACACCACCACACACAGACAGCTACGTGATCCTGTGATCCTGTCATTCTGTCTGCTGAGGTAGGGTTCTGCTAAATAACACAGGGCTGTATGCAAACAGTACCTCCATGTCTTCTAACATAATTACACATCTAAATTTACCCCCAAGAGCCTTCCTTTTCAAAACTTTTACTTGCAAGTGTACCTTAAAGCCAACACTTGCTGAATTATGGCAAAGTCTTTAAGTCAGAGACTCAATCTGAACGTCATTTTTATGTTTAATATATATCACTTGAATAAGGTCTTGAAAAATATACAGGATTCATGCTAAAGTATATACAGGTTTGGGGAATCTCACAGTCCTTTTCAAATTTTGAATGCATCACTTAAATTTCCCATGAGAGTTTAATAAAGTCTTAGGAAAACTACACGTTAAGTACATATAAAATATGTAGGTTTTACCAATTTCCAGATGGGTTGCCCACAGCAATCAAGCTAACATTTCCACTTAACTTTACACATTTCAGACAAGCTGTGCCAAGAAATAATTCAGCTCTTTCAAAGCAAAGCCTAACGTGTAATTTGTTGCAAGGGCTACAAAATATTCTTTTCACCAAAATAGCTGAAAAATATAGACAGATTCAGTGAAAGTTTTTCTTTTTCATGTTCTAAGGGGCTAGTAAATGAGAACACAGTATAACTAGGACAAGAACCAAGATGTCATTAATAAATACTACACAGAATTAAGGGGGAAAAACACATGCTTTTATCATTTCAATTACCAGGTTTACTATATTCAAAGACTCTAATGCATGCTTCAAGGAGGTGAGATAGAAAAGGAAAAGCATTCCTTTATTGCACTGAAATCATTCAGATATTCCTGTAATTAGAAAAAACACTTATTACCAAATATGGCTCCGATAGCAGATTTTTTTTTCACATGTTGTATTTAATGGTGCATTCTCAATATTATTTCACAGCCAAAATAAACAAACAAACAGATAACCACAACCAAAACAATCTTTACTTAGAATAATTACAAATAAAGATTAGGAGACATATTTTCTTCCCCAGCAGAAAGTACTTTAATGACATGTTTCCCACGAAGATGCATTAAAGCAAGCATTTCAAAAGTAAGCCTTCTTTCCTTAGAACAAGCTTCCGTGCATAACTCGAGCTGGTTCTTTTGGTTTTGTTTGTTTGTTTGTTTGCTTGTTTTTTGTTTTTGTTTGCTTGCTTGTTTAAAAAAAAAGAGAAAAAAAAGTAGAGTTTAGAAAAGTACAGTTTAGCCAGTCTTCAAGGAGTTGCTTCAAGTCTCATTTTCTAGAAGTTATTTCTGTGCTATTCAACATAATGGACCAAATGCTTAAATTATGCATCAACTCTATGCAGATTTATTTAAATTTTATAATAATTCAATCTGCATACTGGAACTGCTGATTCCATGTCATGAAAACTTCATAATCTCCAGGCTATCTTGCACTGCCATGTTTCTTCCTATAACAGGATGTCAATGTTCAACTACAGAGATTTACTCTATAATCACAAAAACAAAAGCTAGAAGAAACTTGGATGGAAACCATTCCCTTCTTCAAGGTACAACCCATAGCATCTATCCTTAGAATTCTTTGAGACACCATAGCTGCTTTTGTGATTCAACCACCCAACGAAGGAAGTTTCATCTAATGAGGTAGTTTAGAATCATATGATTTTGTCCCTCCTAATGGCAATGTCTGACAGCTTGTCCCAACTAAAGGAGGGACCACTGGGACCTTGGGGTTGGGAGCTGCTGGTAAACATTCCACCATGGACAAGAGTAACACCCCCACGAGGACTAATCCAGTCCAAATAACAGCAGTACAATAGCTGAGAAACAACATTTTATTGTATCTCAATATGCTGTCCCTACCAACTGATTCTGTAGTTTTCCCTGACCTGCTCTAAGAAAATCATTTTTCATAGCTCTAACTAAAAATGTCTAACTTCAAAAGGCAAGCACTAGGACATGACACCAGGCCAAATCCCCAACATTATAACTGTTGGTAGGCAGCATACAAATTATGAAGCATTAAATACAGGTCAGCAGCAGCAGAAGTCATCTTCAGCAGGTGACATCCCCTTGGCATCCAGAATTCCCTGTAGACGCTCTCTGCATGCAAGTCTGACATATCCCCTCAAGGTCCACATACTCTTTCATTACGGAGTTTTCTAGTGAAAGCTGCACGTTTCCTGTTGGGTTTTTTTTCCCCTTTACATATATTAAAACTAACATGAAACTAGTCAGAAGACATGAGAACAGCAAATACTCCACAGTGCTCTCCACCCTGGACACTGTGATTTAAAAGACCCCTGAAAGGTTTCTAAGTCAGATCTAAACTTGAAAAGATATCAGCATTCTGAAAAAAAGAAAGTCCCATGAATAAATAAATAGCCAATGGAAAATACTCATCAAAACAAACTGTGTGCAGATATTTGTGAGCTACAAACACCATAAAGAAAACAGGGAGGTTACTTCTTTTAGGTCACTGAAACAGAAAAATATATAGTCAGACACTATAAAAGCAGATTTTCTAGCTTTCGCATCTTAAATAACTGCAGAATTTTAAAATTCATCATAAAGAACTTCCAAAATTTAACGAAAAGAAATGTCAGACTTTAGGAGCCTTACAAATCAATGTGGGATTGGTAGACGAATGATGGCCCATCCATATATCAGATAGCCATTAAACATCCAACTGAAGAACAGGTAAAGACCTAGATACACACAACGGCATAATGGAAGACAAGCTACATCAATATACACAGAATATCACTGTTGTATAAACTATTATAAGGAAGTGGATGCTTCTATAAATATATAGGAATAAAGACATACAGACAGGCACACCATGAGGGACTAGTGGCAATCTGCTACAATGTTAACAATGGCTACCTGTGGAGGCAGAAGTTTATGGCCGGTTTCTATTCCTTCTTTGTGCTTTTCCGTTTTCCAACTGTCTTGCAGTGAGACTATTTTGCTGTTTTGTGCTTAAAGAGCTAATACATTATTACAAAGTTACACCTTATTATCTGGAGCACTGTATAGAAAATTTAAACAAACAAAGCCCAAACCTCAATGAAGCCAAGTCTTCCACCAACAAACAGCAAACATTCATTGAGCATCGTTATATCCCTGGTTCTAAGAACTTTTTAAATGCATCGATGGCTTTAAAGAGGGGTGCGGGGAGGGAGCGAGGAGCCCCGAAATAACACCAAATGCAACTGAGTGTTGCTTCCAACAACGGATTTACAGCTCTCTTCCCATGGCTTGAAATAAAGGGGGCTTATTAAATAATCTCTGAAGGTCTTCAAAACTACGCTGAGACTTCTCATGAAAAAGAATTTTTACCAAATAAAGCGTTTGTAAGAAAGTGGCAGCTGCATGCAATCTCAAAAACAGAACTCTACAGAAAAAGAAAACAACATAATAATGCCTCTCAGTTCCTCCTCTTAGTAACTGCACGCAAACTTCTAAAATCTCTTTTCTAATACCACCATGGACAGGAATGATCAAACTATAGTCTATGCTATTGGAGGTAAAAAGAACCATTGGGAGGTTGTCTTTACCGTATTTATTACTTTAAAGAATAATCCTGAAGTAAACAAAAAACTTTGAGATACATTTTAGTCAATGTTCCGGGGGCATTTTGTACTAGAAACAAACATTCCCGTGTTTTGATTAAAGGGTCCTAAGGGCAAGGCACTGGAATTCGGCAAAAGGCAGGTCACGTGTCAAATACACCCAAATCCTCAATACATGAAACATGGGGGTGGGGGAAACCCCATTCTCTCTAGGTGCAAATTCCAGCTGGGTAGTAAGGGGCAACGAGGCTTCCCGGCTATCTGTGGGATTGTTTCCCCAGCTCGAGACCCGACCTAACGGTACCAGGCCGTGGGCCGGTGCTTCACGCGTGGATCGTGGAAGAACACTGACCTGTTAGGTGTATTTCGTGTCTCACTTGTCACCCTCGGAGACACTGTAGATGGATCTTTTGACTAACCAAAACCAGTCATATGTATGTTAGTGCACACCTGTGACACACATGGACATATGCACCAGTGGGTCCGATGGGGACACTCGGGGAGACCACTGCCAGGTTTAGAGCACACGGAAACTATACGGGGGAAACACAAAGGCTCGAGGCACAGAACCAAGTCGAGGATGCAGATGCGCTCAGACACTCAGGCAGGGACACAAAAGAGCAGAGATCAGCGCAGCCCTGCGGAGGAGGACCGCCCGGGGCCCATGTGCGCTCCCCGCCGACCCCGCAGCCGCGCACCCCGAGTCCGCCGCATCGCCACAAAACGGACCCCAAACTTGGCCGCAGGGACTTAAGAGCCGCCGGGCGGGAGCCTTCGCGCCGCCGCTCGTCGGCGCCCGCCAGCACTAGCCACCGGTTCCCGGCGGTTCGGAGGAAGCTCGAAGGGGGCGCGTCAGCCCGCCCCGCAGTCCCCTCAGCGCCCGGCCCGGTCGCCCTGGCCGCGGTGGCCACACTCCTCACTGACACCAAGGGACATTCCCCGAGGCCCGCCCGCCCCGGCTCCGCCGCTCCTCACCAGAGCGCGACGTGCCAACGCTTCAGCGAGCCCAGAGCCGCAGCCGCCGCCGTCGCCCTGGCGCCCGCGGCCGCGCCGCCGCCATCTTGGCTTCGGCCGGAAGTGACGTCGGCACGGCGCCCGCAACCCCGACCCCGCGCTTAGCTCGTGGCCTGCGACCCTAAAGAGCTTAACACGACGGCCGGGCGTGACCCTGGCGGACTGTGGTCGCCCTCTCTGTCAATCACCGGTTCACCACTCGTCCCAGAGCCTCACCTCGAAGAGAAGCCAGCGTCGCCATTGCCGGGCGGGCCTGACCACTATAGAGTTATGACTGAGGAACTCAGTGCCTCAGAGGATCCACTCCCCTTCAGAGGATCAAGGGTGACCCGCATGGTGGCGCTCACTTTAATCCCCCAACTCGAGGCAGAAGCAGGCAGATCTCTTTGACTTTGAAAGCAGCCGGATCTACATAGTGTGAATTCCAGGATAGGCAGGACCACACCCTGAGACCTTGTTTTTTACAAAACAAGAGCACAATCCACTCTGAAGGCGGTTATACCTTTGTCAGGCAAATAGTCCACTTAGATTGTGTGCGAAGGACCAGTGCAGCTACACACACACACACACACACACTCACGCACGCATGCACGCACGCGTGCACACAAAACGAAACTTTAGCAAAGCAGATGCACCTGGGTGGCTGTGTTCATTCCCTTACCAAAAGGCATTTGCTAACTGCCAGCCATGGGCCTAGGTCAGTGCCAGGGCTCTGTGGTACTGAGCATGGTCTTCATGTTACCCTTGGGAACTGAGTCACTATTTACAAACAAGCGAGCAGCGGTGTGTGGTGGATTGATTGCGTTGAACTTGAGACCACTTCTGACATCCCAGAAAAGAGATTTGACGGGAACACAGTTGCCGATCAATCTGAAGTTGTGGAGAGATGAAAATTACAGTTGTCACAGCTAAATGGTACCTAAAGCCACGAGTACTTCAAGACAAAGCTATCCTCTGAGAAGAAAGGGAGAAACCTAAATCTAGTGGGCCATATTAGTCTTCTAAGGATCTAACGAGTAGATAATTTATTGTCTCCAAGACTTTGCAAAGACCAGAAAAGTTCATCAAAGGTGCCTGTAGTTCAGAAAGCGAGCTGACCGACATGGATTGTGGTATACTCTGCAAAGGGTTGGTGATGTGGTGGTCATCTGGTCAGTATTGTTGACAGGTGAGGACAATGTCAAACGTTGTCAAGGTCCAGATCACCACAGTGCCCATGGAGAAAGGAAATCAAACCTCAAATTCTTGCTTATGTCTCTTCACTATTCAAGGAAGAGTTTATAAACCTAAGAAATACGTGCAACCATGTCACTAGAATATATACTATTATGATACAGGCTGCCATTGGAATGCACACTCTTTACTTGATTAATGCCTTACAACTAAGTACATGCATCAGAATCATTTGAGGTAGTGTGGGAGAAAAAGGAGGACCATCACCTCATCCCCCGTCAAACTGCCACAGTCACCATTTTAAAAGAAAATCTACATGCTACCCGGCATCCGATAGAAGGCAAAAGAAAAATAGGAAACTGTCAAATCAAAAATGGCATGGTAAAACCAGAGAGCACCATTCCAAGAAGTCAGTGGCTGTTTGTCCTGTCTTACTCTGAAACAAGGGAAGATGCCTTTTTAACCCCCTGGGGCTACTGTTTCAGATTTAATGTCTTTTTTTTTTTTCTGGTTTTTCGAGACAGGGTTTCTCTGTGTGGCCCTGGCTGTCCTGGAATTCACTCTGTAGACCAGGCTGGCCTCGAACTCAGAAATCCGCCTGCCTCTGCCTCCCAAGTGCTGGGACTAAAGGCGTGCGCCACCACTGCCCCGCCCAGATTTGATGTCGTAAAACAACAGAAATTTAATCTTCTGCAAACGTAGAGGGTAGAGTCCAAAATCAGTATCAGTAGGCTAACGCTAAGGTGTCAGTAGGACCACACTTCCTCTGAGGCCTCTAGAGGAGACTGTTTCCTTCTTCTAGTTTCTGGTGACTGCCAACATTCCTTGGCTTGTCACTGTGCCACCCAACTCTTCTAGGCCAACATCTTCACACTCTTCACACTCTCTTCCTCATCTTAACATCACTTTCTCCTTTGTAGGTAGTGAAATTTCCCTCTATTCTTTCTTAATACATACAGCTGCACTGAGGATTCCCAGCTAAACCACAGTTAATCTCTTCATTGCTTAGTCATATCCACAGAAGTTCTGTATGAGGTAATGCTTGAAAACTCAAGGGATTTAGTTGAGGTCAGACACTTAGGAACCATTATTTAGCCTACCACACTGAGTTTATCTTCGGTTACTCTAAATAGCACCTCTAACCAGCCGTCATATACTTTTAATCTGTGTATTTTGTTTGGACATGTTTCAGGTCTCTAAACTGTGATACTTCCCAGTCTGAATAATATGCTTTACAGTTTATCTGTTTAATTTAAAAAAAAAAAAAGACAAAGGCCATCAAGATTACAGTGTAATTTCATTAGCGATGATTAGCTGTGCGGTATACTAAATATCATTGTTTTCCTTCTTTGAAATGATGAAATCCGTTGCTAATGAATGAGGGCGGGAATTGAGATGCTTTAATCAAAAGAATCCGTGGTCTGTTTATTAGGAGATGAAAGTATACAGCTCACTCACTATCAAAATCTGCAACGTGAGTGAGACTCCATGCTGCGCAAGTCATCTGGCTCAGTTCCGGTCAGCTCCGGTCAGCTCCGGTCAGCTCCGGTCAGCTCCGGTCAGCTCCGGTCAGCTCCGGTCAGCTCCGGTCACTGTCGCACATTAAACGTTAACACGGAACATGCTTCACTCAAAGCCCAGAACAATGTCTAAGCACTGAACAGATCATTTTTATAGGTTGAAAATGGCATCTCGAGGGTTTGGCTTGGAGGGTTTGGGGGGTCTCTTCTTTCGCTCTCCCTTGCCTGGGGAGTGGCTATTCTGGACGAAGAAAGGCTGTGGTGCCTCGGGGAGCTGCCGGTAGGAAGTGCTGTCCTTCTGCAGGGTCAGGAAGGGGAGTTCAGATGTCTTCCAGAGCTTGAGACCCAGCGACCCGCGCCCAGGAGGCTTTCACCTTCACTATGGCCGAACTGATCCAACAGGGAGAGGTAGAAAAATATCAACAGCTGCAGAAGAACTTGAGTAAATCCATGTCGGGGAGGCAGAAGCTTGCAGCACAGCTAACGGAAAATAATATCGTGAAGGAGGAACTGCCCTTGCTGGATGGATCCAATATGGTCTTTAAGCTTCTGGGACCCGTGCTTGTCAAACAGGAGATGGGAGAGGCTCGGGTCACGGTGGGGAAGAGGCTAGACTACATCACAGCGGAAATTAAGCGCTACCGAGTCGCAGCTCCGGGACCTCGAGCTGCAATCAGAGCAGCAGAGGGAAACCCTCGCCCAGCTGCAGCAGGAGTTCCAGCAGGCCCAGGCAGCAAAGGCCCCTGGGAAAGCCTGACCCCGTGGGAAGGGGAGGGGAGGGAGGGATGAGGCTAACCCCGAGCTAATAAAATTTACACAGAACCAAGAAAAAGAAAGAAAGAAAATGACATCTCCCTGACTCTCAAAACGAATAGATTAAAGCAGTTACATATAGCCCAGACATTGTACTTTTAAAAAACGTGATTGTAAGCCGGGCAGTGGTGGAGCAAGCCTTTAATCCCAGCACTTGGGAGGCAGAGGCAGGAGGATTTCTGAGTTCGAGGCCAGCCTGGTCTACAGAGTGAGTTCCAGGACAGCCAAGGCAACACAGAGAAACCCTGTCTCGAAAAACAAAAAAAAAAAAACAACAACAACAACAACAAAAAAGTGATTGTAATTAAAACCACTGCAATTTCTACAGAATTGCCCCTTAAAAGATTAAAAACTTTATAGCTAAGACCAAAGACTTTAAACTACAGTATCAGTGACAATGTAAGTGAGCTTAAGACTTCCTGAATGACAATACTTGTTCCCTGCTTGGTTCCGTTGTAGACACTGTACGTGTATTATGTCCCGTTCATCATAGCTGTGTGTGGTGAACTCATGTACAGCTGTGGGTACAAAGACCAATGTGGATGAAGACATTGCCCAGTTAAGAAATGAAACCAGGTTTTTAACTTGGACAGTTCAGCTCCATAGGAAGCAACCACCGCATCCTTGGTGCACATAAATGCACACACACACACACACACACACACACACACGCACACACACACGAGAGCTAGACCAGTAGTCATTGTGGGCAAGTGCATAAATGTGTGTGTCTTTCTGTCTGTCTGTCTGTCTGTCTGTCTGTTTATGCATAAAGAATTCCAGGGCTGATGGCATGAGCCAACAATCATATATCTACATGGAAGGCCAAAGCAGGAAGATCCTGAGTTCAAGGACATCTTAGGCTACAAGGATGGACCAGACAATCTAATGAGTCCCTTCCCAGCAAGTGTACTGCCTAGGTTCAATCCCTAGTATGGCAAAGTATAAAATAGTATCTGCATTAAGAGACCCCGAGCATCTTAAATGTTCTTCCTGAACTGTCGGGCAAGAACAGCTTTGCAAAGAACAGAAGTGGCCCCAGGATCTGAGGAAACTGTCTCATAACCTTGCCTGTTCAGGCTATGAATGCACTGCTCTCCTTAAAAACAACAAAATGAAACCAAAACAGAATCTCTTCTCTCGTGGCTACGAACTATTTCTCAACAAGAAGCAGTATCTCCTTGGTTTGGTGACTTTGCCCTTTTCATCCTCCACTCCTCTGCCAGATCGTTTACCTAAGCAAGAATGACATCTTACATAGTCACAGGAGCCACCAAAAGATGTGAGGCTTCTCTTCTGGGTGCTCCTGAGTTACAATGAATGAACTTCAAAGCTAGACGTTCTGGAGGCAAAGGATACAGCTTGCTGTATGACAAACAAGCTACACTGTCTCATACAAAAACTGCTGCAGCCTGGACACGTAGCTGCTACTCACAATAGTGAAGCTGAACAGTGGGCAGGGGGATGGAAGTCATCTGTACGGAGCCTCCTCCCTGCT